AGTATCAGAGGAAAAATGTGTTTCTATAATAAACACTTTTTTATGTTTGTAGTTAGAAGTGAACAAATGGAGCAATGCAGATCAGTTTCTATTGCAATAGATTCTAGGGAATTATCAGACAACTTTTATAGTACTAGGATTTAAACGAACTGAATATTGGTTAAAATAAGTCCATAGACAAGGGATTGTAATTTGATGTGTGTAGCTTTTAACTTATGACAATATATGTTGACATAGATTTATCGTATGTTAAACAGTTTTGAGTTTTAAAAAATTAAATGTTGGCTTGAGATTTATTTTCTTTAAAAATTAGTAAAATTCATGAGAGCAATTTTCTATTTTTTAGCCTAAAATAGTTTGTGTGTCTTTATAGCCAAGATATATTTTCCATAGAGAGTATTTACCTGTAGCACGTAAAGACTGCCTCATCATCTTGTGCAAAAACACGTTAGTGGAAAGTTGGAGGACATTTATAAAGGTCGGGCTCTCAAGTTGTCAATCTTGGAGCCATCTCTTGGGTTCTTGTGCTTTAAAATTTTTACTTAAATGTTTGAACTTCAAGATTGGTGGTTCAAGCTCACCAGCTGCTCCTCAAAAACCCTATACAGGATCGCTGTGCTCGGAACCTACTCGAGGGCACTCAACAGTAACAACAACTATACAAGGTCTTCATAGGCTGCCTGCATGTTTTAAAATTTTTACTTAAATGTTATCTTGTATTATATACATGTTAGAAATGTTATCAATGACAAATTGAACCATTCATAGTGGATATAGGTAAAGATTCTGTTAAGCATAAAACCAACTATCACTTGACTGTGCTAATTGTCTTCTTTTGTTGTTGTTGTTGTTAAGTGCTGTTGAGTTGGTTCCAACCCATAGCGACCCTGTACAGGGTTTCCAAGGCTGTAAATCTTTACGGAAGCAGAAAGCCTCATCTTTCTTCCGTGGAGTCGCTGGTAGTTTCGAACTGCTGGCCTTAAGGTTTGCAGCCCGATTCGTAACCACTAAGCTACCAGAGCCCCTGTATTTGTATTTGCTGAGTACAATTGTGCATTTTGCCCTCTTTTTTAAACTGCTGTTTAGACAGTTATTTATGTGTTATATCTATCATGTCTACAGTTTAAATTACTGATTTATCTGTATGAAAAAACTTGTTCCATCTAAAAAGCTTTGGAGAGTTATTGTTTATAGGGGAAAGACTCCATGTGAGATTGAAGTCTTGTTGGCTCTGCCCCTTGTTTTCTCCATGAACTTGGATGAAAGTTGTTTAGGATCAGCCACCTCACAGAATGACTGGTGGCGGTGTTGGTGTGCCGGTGTTGGTGTGCCGTGGAGTTGGCTCTGACTCATAGTGACCCTGTACAGGGTTTCCAAGGCTGTAAATCTTTACGGGAGCAGAAACCCTCATCTTTCTCCTGCAGGACAGCTGGTAGTTTCAAACTGCTGACCTTGAGGTTAGCAGCCCGACTTGTAACCACTATGCTGCTACCAGAGCTCCTTCACAGAATGATTAGAAACACCAAACGCTTTAAAAGTGCATGAAAGATCCTTGTCAAGAATGAGACAAAACATTTAAATTATCTTGAAGGCTGACTTGTTAGTTTTTTTTTTTTTTTTTTACGTTTTTAATTGTGAACTGAGTGATAGTTTACATGGGAGAACATCAGTTTTATACCATTGTTTCATTGCAATGATTACAATATCCTCCATGCATCATCATTCAACAGTATTTGCTTCCATTCTCTGTGGGTTTTTTTTTTTTTTTGGTGGGGGGGATGTACACAAAAACACTCAGGAATATATAATAAGTTAAACCACCAAAGGGCACATTATGCAAGCCTGCCTCCTGACTGCCAGTACTCAGTCCCTCTCTTCCCATGAATCTAGAGTCCTCAGCTGGTCCCTCTCTCCATGTCCTCATCTCTGCCTCCATCTTTGGTGTCGCTGCTTTTCTGAATAGGGTCCTACATTCCGCTTGTGCTCTTCTCCCTTGATGGTCCTAGGGTCCTCTATTTCTGGACTGTAAGATTAACTACTCCCCGTTTTTGTTACAGAATTTCTACATTTACAGTTGTGACAATCGCAATCAGTCATGATAACAATTACTCACTATTGAATCATAAAAATCTTATCCCCCATCTCTTTAAACCAGACCCATCTTCCTCTGCACACTCTTAAGCTAAAATTCCTCTTGAAAACTTGTAAGCTAGTTACTTCGTGCCTTTATTGCCCCTTCATTTTGGGTAGCCAATGTCTAAGTTGCCCGTCCGTATCTACCCTGAATACAGAGGGGATGATAGCATTGATATTTGATGTGAAGACTCCTTCACTCTCATTTGGTATTTTGAGCATACATATAGGTCAAGTCCATCAAATTGTAGCAATTTACACTCATTTTCTTTATCAAAAAAAAAAAAAATTTTTTTTTAGTCTTTCTCTAGTTGAGTTCTGATTATCAACCCATCTGGGTTAGGTCAAATGAGTACTATCTGCAAGTTTGTTTGGGTGTTCTCTCCTCACTTCATATCAGCTGGATGCTTCACTCTCAGCTCTAGCCCTCTGTAGCTATGTCCTTGTATGTGGACTCAGGAGTCCTCAGGTCTCACCACACTTCAGACCAACCAGCCCTTTCTCTTCTCTCTCTCTCATCTCTAGATGAGTGGGAGTCTATGGAACGTGGTTGAACTCAGCCCATTTCTTCATTGCTGCCTTTCCCTGTCTTCTACTTAAACCAATGTGGTCTCCAGCAAGCTTACATGCCTGTTCATGTGTTCCCTTTGAGTTTCAGTCTTGGAGTGGGATTTGTCCTGAAGGGACTTGACTGCTTGGTAGGCCAATATTTTGGATCTTCTCAACCATTTCAGAAATGACATAAGGATGGTTTAGAAATGGTTGAAATCATTGAAAAATGCTTTGCTAATGATGGACAAGAACTCAGTTTTAGCCACAAATGTGTTTCCATTTGAGTATATATGTATAAAATAATGAAGATACTTTATAGCTAGTAGTATTAAGAGATGAATGGAAAAGTTGCTGTTAGCTATAAATAGGGTCGGGACTGGAACAATGTTTTAAATAGAAAGTTCAGCACTCCAACCTTGCTTTTCTGATTTCCATCCTTTTAAAGTTTTTTGTCTTAAATGTTATCTTGGATTATCTGAATGTTAGAAACGTTTTCAATGACGAATTGAATTGCTCATAGAGGATATAGATATAGATTCTGTTAACCATAGATGAACAATCTTATGATTGTTTGTGAGAGGTAAGGAGAATATTACATTCTCAGTGTAATGATTAAAATAGCAAGTTGTGCCACTGTTCCCCTCTCTATTGGCCAAAGTTTCAAATCTGGAATTAGGGATAATTGTAGTACTTTGTTAATTGCTTCATGTGTATAAGACATTATTATAATATTATTTCTTTTCTTTAATCCTTGCTGTTGTTACTGAGTATAGTTCAGTCAGTTCTGACTCATAGATACCATGCATAGGGTTTCCAAGGAGTGACTGGTAGCTTTGAACCACCAGCCTTGCAGTTAGCAGTCCAATACTTATCCTACAGCACCACACCAGGACCCCTCTTTGATGTTGTAAGCACCATTTTTATCTTTAAGAGACCAGCGTATAAGAGAAGTTGAGTAAATTACTCATACCGGCAGTCTCTGAAGGTATAGCCTACATTGGAACCCAGATCTGCCTCACTCCTTAACTGTATCTTTCCTATCAGATCATTACTGCCTTGTTTCCTTTGGTAATAGCCTGTAAACTTTAAGTTTGAGACAGCAGTAATTGCATTATGCCTTTGAAGAACCTAAGCAATATACAAGTCAGTTGAGCCTTACACCTTTAACAAAGGCTAAGTTTTGGAGGTTTTCTAGGAATGCTCACCTGCCTGCTGGCACTTCATATGATGTGAAGTGAAGGTCAGAGCCTCAATGTGGGTCGATGAGAATCTGAAACAAATATGCTGTTCTCACTTTGTTAAGTGCGGTAGAGTCAGTTCTGACTCATAGCGACCCTGTATGGGGTTTTGAGGAGCAGCTGGTGGGTTTGAACCACCGACCTTGTAATTAAGGTAGTAGCCCAATGCTTATCCTATAGCATCACACAAGGGCCCCAGTGGAGCTTTGGTGAGCTGTAATTTGGGAGATAGTCAGTCACATTGTTCTTGTTTGGGATTCTGAGCACTTGTAGGACTTTAGCCTGCCAGGTAGGACATTTCTTTTTCACAGGCTGTGTCAGGTGCACCCCTTTCTTGTTTGTGCTACTGTCACCCACACTGAGAGCCCTTACACTTTGTGCTTAGATGGCTGCATAAGCTTCTTAACTTTAGGCTCTAAATTCCATTCAAATCTTTCTACTATTCCCTGATCTGTTTCTGAAAGAATTTCTTGCTGACCACAGTTGTGTTGACTTTCTAAACTATCCACAATTTTATTATCTACCACTTAACAATACTTTCTAGTATTCCACAGTTCAAACTGTGTTGGTCTAGCTGATTGTACTATTTCCATTTCTCCCTCACATCACCCTCAGTAGTGTATGCTGTCCTCATCGCCCCCCCAGTCTGAAAAGCCCTTCTTTGCCTTCTCTACTTGCATAAATGTTTTATACAAATACTTCAGCGCCTGACTTTATTTTTCTACCTGAAAAACTTTATCTGGTTTTCCTAGCCCTCAGTGTTCTTTTTCTCCTTGAAACCTCTTGAATGGGTATGCTTTATAGTGTCTTCTATTTGTGTTGTTACTGTTGTTCATAAGAAACAAATTTCTAAATAAGCTGTATATATTTTCTTTAATCACCTTCGTGGCCACCAAATCTAGATACATGGTAGGTATTAAGCCACTAATTGTTGATAGATTTAATGGCTCTTATTTCAGAATTGAAAAAAAAAAAAAAAAAAGTCTATCATGTATACAGAAAAGTGCAATGATTGGAAATTTATTTGGTAGTTTACTGATGTGTTGAAGTGTATTTTTTTCTCTTTTGTCTCACCAGCAATCAAAGAGAAGTACACAGACTGGACAGAATTTCTTATACGTGATTTGACTGGTTCACGGACAGCACCCGCCAATTTACTGGAAGGTGTATGTATTAGTGTTATACAGCTATATATGTCTGAGACCTCACAGTTACATGAGCTCAAACTTAGCAGCATTTTTGCATATATCCTTCTTCAGAAAACATTAAAAAACATAGGTATTCATATGCAGCAGTTTAATTACCTGTTCTTTCCTGAATTACCCAGGTTACTGATTCGAACAGCGTTGAAGAGTATTCACCTGTGGTACAATCAGTAAATGGAAAACTTACTTCCATGCGAATGCAATTTAAAATAATAATAGGTTAGGGTGTTTTCCCACTATTCTATAAATGGAAGTCTCATTCCTATATTAGTCAATGTAAATAAGCTCTTGTAAAGATACTGCTTTGCACAGATGACAACCAAGCATATATGCATGTGCTCTGATATACTATCTTGGATTATTGTGGTAATTGATTCCAGTAATTATGCCATTTCAGATGGATAACCTAAAGATTTAAGTTTGGGTTAGCTAATAGTTGAGTTTGCTTACTTTATAAAAGCAAAAGGAGAAATGGTAGCTGTATTTAAATATGTTTATGAGAATTTAAAGATACTGAAGTAAAAACAGTTAAATTTGAAATTTTGATGGTTCTTTTTAAAATATGGTAAAACGTTTTTACTTACTGTATATAATAGAACAAGAAGAGCTATGCACTGTGTCAGAAATAATTCTTGATTTGCTAAATCTGTTTTAAGAATGCTCATGAAAAAGGGAAAAGAAAAGAATAACAAAGAATACAATATGAATTTTGACTATATCATTATTTTTTTAAGTTTAATCTTTCTCTTAGAAATGCATAAATGTATACATATAGAGAATACATACCTTAGATGTACATACATACTTTAGAATGCTACTGTGTAATGCATAGTAACTGGGTTTTGTTTGGGGCATGTTTTGCCTGCTGCTTTGTTTCTTGAATCTTACTGTCTACTATTTTTATTTTTTGATTAACAAATCAAAATGATGATTGTTCACCCTTATGTATGGGAAATTATTGTAATTTTTGTTTAAATTTAAAAAACAAACAAACATATTTGCCTACAAGACTGGTTGCACAAACACCTTTTTCATATGCTAACATATGCTAAAAACATTTTTCTTAGATGGGGCAATAATTGCATATTCTCTAAACCTGCTAACCATCCGGAGAAGTGCAGAAATAACTTTACATAATAGTTCAATTTAGCATATTATGAATGTGTATTAGACATGCCATCTCTATCTTTGCTTGCTCTACTCACATAATCAGAGTATGAGAGAGCCTTGATTATTATAGTAAAGTCCATCTTAAAATAAATGCCTGTTGAAGAACCATGCTGTACATTTTATACCCTCTTTTTAAATACATCTATTGGGGAAGTATACTTTTCACCATTCCATGTTTTCTAGCCCCAGGGAAATTTGGGTAGAACTCTTCTTAAAAACATACTAATTTCTAACAAATGTAATTTTATCTGGGGAGCGTGGTTGTTTGTGAGAAATTAGCACAAACTGTTATTTTCTATTTATGTGTGATTTTTGTTGTTGGGTACAGAATTGGGTAAAATGGAAGTGTGTGTGGGAGGGAGGGGGGGAATGACTGTTGAAAGGATGGGGGTGGAGGGAAACACCAGACTGTTTGCCAATAGCTTGGATGATAGTGTGAAAAAATATTATCTTCTGCTGTCATCTGTTTCCATGAGAACCTTAAAATAAAGTTTAAAATACGGAGTTTTGCTTCTGTTTAAACAGCCTCTGCGAGGGAAAGGCCCTATAGACCTCATTACAGTTGATTCCTTAATAGAACTTCAGGATTCTCAGAACCCTTTTCAGTACTGGATAGTTAGTGTGATTGAAAATGTTGGAGGAAGATTACGCCTTCGCTATGTGGGATTGGAGGACACTGAATCCTATGACCAGTGGTTGTTTTACTTGGATTACAGACTTCGACCTGTTGGTTGGTGTCAAGAGAATAAATACAGAATGGACCCACCTTCCGGTAAGGGTTGAAGCATTTGCTACTCTCAAGTTTTTTGGAAAAAAATGTAATATTTTCCTGCAGGTATTTCTGGAAAGTTTATTCACTCTGTTCTGTCTTTGGCTAACCTCTGAGTATGTAAATATTGAGTATTTTATTTAAAAATACTTTCTATAGGGAATAAAATCCAAGACCTCAGTCAATAGAGTCATAAGAAGAGAAAGTATTGTTGCAGGCCACAGGGAAGTTGATTCTAGTTCTTTTGGAATTACTGATTCAGTAGTGAAATATACAATAGGGTGGTATTTGAGGATATCATCCATTTTTTCTGTTGGGATCCCCATAGTCTTCCAAGTATGTTCCAAAGGAATCTTTCATCCATCCATCCACCCATCGAACTATTAGAACACTGAACTGTTCTGACCATCAAATAACACAGGAAAAAACAATTCTGGGCACACTGTAGATTTCATTTAGCTTTAAATGCACTATCACATGACTCTCCACAGGCTTAATTGGATAGAAGAGTGCATTATTATGCTTTCTGACATCCCTAACTGGGCAAGATCTCAGTGTTTGCAAAACAACCGTTTTTGAATGTTTACTATGTGCCTGGTGATTTTAAGTTAAGTCATTTGTTTGGGTTCCATAAAAATGCTGGGGGTTTGGTGTGAATATATTTTATTTTATAGTAGAGAAAATTGAAAATGGGGTTAAGTGGTTTGTCCAAGGTCACCTGGCTTCTGAGGGGATATGCTATAATTTAGAGCTACAGTATTAGACCTTGTTCACCCCACTTGCCCTACTGCCTCCTAGTTGTCTTTCCCTCCTTTTGATGGGAAGCCAATGAAAATGTTAGATTCTTACTGACTTCAAGATGCCAAGGCAGAAATTCTCATTTTCTTTTAGAAACTGCAAACCTTCCCTGTGGTCAACTTTGCAAATATATTTGGAGCAAACACTTAGCTCTTCATTTTACTGAAATTATTAGAGAACTTTCCTTCCAGACGAGTTGCCATTAGTAGCCATTTGTGCCATTAGTACACAAAGCTGAGGGGTTGTATTTTCCTTTTCTGTCATTCAAGGGCGTTAATTGAAAAAAGCTTTCTGGTTCTGTATCCCACATGTTTGCATTTGTGTTAAATTTGACAGTACTATATAGACTTGTAATGTGATATTTTATTAGTAGTATTGTTGTCAACATTTCAGCCAAGAAATCCATTTATACCCTCAGTAATTTGGGACTGTGATGACAAACGAAGGTCTTGTCAGTGTGTTGTGAGGGGGAAAAAAAATCTAAGCTTGCTTTTCTGATTTGGGATTCATAACCTAGCAAGAAAAACTCGTTTTGTTCAGAAAGTTGGGTATATAATTCTCAGCTCAACATCTTACTGTTTAATGCATTTTTGGAGAAACATACACTTGCTAGTATAAAAATGTGTGGTAAAGCATTGACTTGTTAGTACTCTCTTTGGTACTCTGTAATGTTTCTTTACTATGAATTTACTGGGTTCATACTCAAAAAAGCAAGACTATTAAGTGTCATGCTAGAAACTTAGGGAACATTTCTGTATGTCCTCTATAGCTATGTTTTATAGATAATTTGATAACTTTATAATATAAGCATAAATTGGCCTTACTTGTCTTAGGAATTTCCTGGACATGAGTTGTTCATGTTCACGGAAGAGTTAATGGGAGTCCTTAAAGACTTTAGAAGAGGTAGCAGTCTCATCATCAGTAAGTTTATTTTCCCAGCATTTAAAATTTTAGCAACAAATGTCACATACGGGGAGAAGAAAATGAAAGGCAAAAGGCCATTCCAAATTAGACTTTCAGGTTGTAAAATACAGTACTTGCAGGATGGAACCTGGAGTATGTTACCTCATTGAAGAAGAACAGTATCCCTGAGAGGCAACTGTTACCCAGGTTTTTACACATGGGAACAGAACCTGATACTTTAGATTTGTGTAAATTAATTTGAAGACCCCATGTGACTTGTAAGATCTATTTAGTGTAACACTGTTTACTTAACTGAAATATGCAAGGGCCTCAAAAAGTTCATGGAGAAATTCCATTATCTTTCTATTCTATTTTTCCACAAACGTTTTGAAGCCCCCTTCTATAGGTGGGAGTGAAATAGCAGTCTTGCATATAAAACATTAAGCTTATTTTTGTAGTCCTGGTGTGGCGCTGTGGGCTAATGCATCAGACTGCAAAGTTGTTTGAACTGCAAGTTTGGTGGTTCCAGCTCACCAGCTACTCCTTGGAAACCTTATACAGGGCTGCTATGGGTAGGAATTGATTCTACGGCACTTAACGACAACAACGAATACCATTAGGGAGCTCAGTGGCTTTGTATGATAAGCACTGAACTGAGAATAACAAGGTCAGCATTTCAAACCCACCAGCAGCTCTGTGGGAGAAAGGTGAAGCTTTCTGCTCCCGTAAAGATGTACAGCCTCAGAAGTCCTATACGTGGTCTCTGTGAATTGGAACAGACTTGATGGCCCTTAAAACCAATAACAACGAACACCATTACGTAAATGGAAAGTGTTAAGCATGCTTTAATAGTGAGTAGGGAGAAAGATGAGGCTTTCTGCTCCTGTAAAAAGATGTACAGCCTCGGAAACCCTATGCAGGGTCGCTATGAGTCAGAACTGACTCCATGGCATATAACCACCACCACCTAACTGAATAAAGGAACTCTGGTAGCGTAGTGGTTACGAATCGGGCTGCGAACCTTAAGGTCAGCGGTTCGAAACTACCAGCTGCTCCGCGGGAGAAAGATGAGGCTTTCTACTCCTGTAAAGATTTACACCCTCGGAAACCCTATACAGGGTCGCTATGGGTTGGAACCGACTCGATGGCACTTAACAACAACAACAACAACCTAACTGAATGGCTTTGTCTTATTCACAAGCTCTATCCTAAATGCCTAGAGCAATGCCTGACACATAGTAGATGCTCAGTAAATATTTACTGAACCAATTGACTGAACAGAAAGTTGAGTATGTCTGCAGAGAAGGAAGGAGCCAACTAAGGCTGTTTCATTATCCAGGAAGCCACGTAATCAATACCCAAAAGGAGCCAATTTTGAAGGGGTAGTACTCAGACTGAAGACACCACCTAAAATGTCTCCTGTACCCCTTTTATGTTTGGTGAGCTTTATGAAACAGAGTCAGAAAAAGCAGAGATATTCTTTGTCAGTCTGATCTCCTGTTTGGCACCGTGCATGACTCCTGGACATTTAAGATTACAGAACATGGTCTTTGGTGTCCAGGAGAAATGTTGTTCCTTTAAAAGGAGCTCACAAGTAGATCAAGCTTAAGAAACTTGGGAGTGTAGAAAGGACATGTATTATAGTCAGCTTCCAAATTCTGTACTTCTATCATTAGCTTCCGACTCGACAGCACGATGGCACTTAACAACAACAACAAGGTCATTAGCTTCAAGCAGCTCTGGGTAGCGTAGTGGTTACAAATTGGACTGCTAACCTCAAGGTTGGCAGTTCGAAACTACCAGCCATTCCACGGGAGGAAGATGAGGCTTTCTGCTCCCATAAAGATTTACAGCCTTGGAAACCTGGTGCAGGGTCACTGTGAGTCGGAACCGACTCCCCAGTACACAACAACAGCAATAATTAGCTTCAGAGCCTCTAACAAGGTACTGAACTCCCTTGAGCTTCACTTTCCTTATCTGTATAATGGGATGATTATACTTTTGCTGGTCTTTGAAGTGACCAGGCTGTGATAAAAATATCATGGTTATTATACTTTAATATTCTAGGAAGCTGTTTAAGCGTAGATCATTTAGAGAACACCAACTACTTTCATATTTCTGGATTTTTAGAAAGCAAGATAGACTGTTGTATGTTCTTATAGAAGCCAAGGAGATGAAGCTTTATGAAAAATTTATTCTTATTTCTGCGTTCTTTTCCTTCAAAATCCTTTTCTACCTTCTTGTTTTTTTTAAGATAGTTAGGAAGTTTCTGAATCTAACTTTAAGTCCTCCCTCTTCTTATTTCAAAAAGGGTTGTTGCTTTCCAATGTTGTTTTTGTTGTTAAGTGCCATGGAGTCTGTTCTGACCCATAACAACACTGTAGGTCTTCCAAGAAGTGGCTGGTGAGCTTGAACTGCTGATCTTGCAATTCAAACAGACTTTGCAGTCTAGCACATTAACTCAGTGCCACACCAGGACTCCTTTCCAATGTTTATTGTATCTTAAAAACCATATTGTGGTTTTGTTCTTAAGTGCTATCCAGTTGTTCTGACTCACAGAGATCACCTGTAGGGTTTCCAAGGAGCGACTGGTGGATTTGAACCACCAATCTTGTGGTTAGCAATCTGATGCTTATCCCACAGCGCATCACCAGGACTCCATAAAAACCATGTTGTTGTTGTTGAGTGCCGTGGAATCGGTTCCAACTCACAGTGACCCTGTATACGTTTTCCCAGGAGTAGCTGGTGAGTTTCAAACGCCAACCTTGAGGCTCACACTCACCTTGAGTGCTTATCCTACATGTTGTTGTGGATGTTGTTCAGTGCCATTAAGTCGGTTCCAACCCTTAGCCACCCTGTGTTAGGTTTCTGAGGAGCGGCTGGTGAGCTTGAACTGCTGACTCTGTGATTCAAACTGACTTTGTAATCCAGCGTATTAACCCACAGTGTCACGCCAGCACTCATAGACTAGCTTAATTTCATCACTGGTAAGAAACCATGTAGAAAAATAGGGAATGGCGATGGTTAGGAAAGGATGTAAAAGAGAGACTTAACCCTCCAGGCCTTTGTGTGGTTAGTGGCCTAAAGATGATTATTTTGTGCACCTCTGCTTCCTTTTGCATTTACTGTGAAATGGCCTGCCAGATACTACAATGGGAGATTGCTTTGTTTTCTTGTAGGCTTCTAGTTAAAGATGAACCAGGACACATTTTAATTGCTTATTACTTTCCCACAAACAGAAATTGACATGATGCACTCTATTAAATTACCTGCGGCACGATCATTTTAAGAAAATGCTTTAT